CCACTGCTTATCTTGAGACTTCTGGATACCTCGCTGAGCTATTATGAGTTTGTTGGATCAACCACCACCTCATGGACCCAACATGCCAGGCAAGACAGAGTCAACATTTCCCTCCACTCCATTCTGCCTGGCTGGTTGAAGTTGGCAGGCCAAGCCTATGTTGGGATCCACCCTCCAAAGCAAGCTCAGACCCGCTCCGAAAGGGTCTGGGCTTCTCTGTCAGGAATTAGAAGAATCTGCTCCATAAACAGTGCTCACCACAACATTCAAGTTGCAAAATCCAGACACTTTCCTCAAAACAAGCTGCTTGGACCTGCTTTCCCAAATAAGCGGCATTGTGGTTTCTACCCAGCAATGGGAGGCAAGAAGAGAAGGAGCCTTGATCTTAGTAAAGAGCTATGCAGAAATAGCAGCTGAGGTATTGGATAGGTATAGAGAAAATCCAAGTTAAAGTTCTCATCAGATCATGGAGCTCACTGAGTTTTTCTTTTAGCCTAACTAGTTCAAAGAGTTGTTGCTGTTAGGATAAAATGGTGAGATGGCATCCAGTTCTGGTCACTATGACATGATAGCAGTATTCCAGTATTTGAGGGGCTACCTCAAAGAAGAGGGGGGTCAACTTATTTTCCAAAGCATCAGAATTCAAGACAAGAAAGAATGGATGGAAACTAATCAAGGAGAGAAACAACCTAGAACTAAGGAGAAATTTCCTGACAGTTAGAACAATTAATCAGTGGAACAGCTTGCCTTCAGAAGTTGTGAATGCTCCAACACTGGAAGTTTTTAAGAAGAGACTGGACAGCTATCTATCTGAAAGGATATAGGATCTCCTGCTTGAGCAGGGGGTTGGACTAGGGGACTTCCAATGTCCCTTCCAGCTCTATTCTGATTCTAGAAAGAATGCAGAAAAGAACAGCAAAGATAATTAGGGAACTGGAAACTAAACATAATGATAAATGGTTGGAGGAACTAGGTAGGTCTAGTCCAGGGGTAGGGAACCTTGGCTCTTTTATGATTTGTGGACTTTAATACCCAGAATTCCTGAACCAGCCATGCTGACTCAGAAATTCTGGGAATTGAAATCCACAAGTCACAAAAGAGCCAAGTTCCCTACCCCTAGTCTAGTCTAATGAAGAGAAAGACTAGGGATGACACGATAGCAATCTTCCAGTATTTGAGGGGTCCCAAAGCTGCTTTTTCATGAGGCAACTGGATTTTGTTGGTTTTTTTTTGAAGACGTTTCGCTTCTCATCCAAGAAGCTTCTTCAGCTCAGAGCTCAGAGCTGAAGAAGCTTCTTGGATGAGAAGCAAAACTTCTTCAAAAAAAAACCAACAAAATCCAGTTGCCTCATGAAAAAGCAGCTTTGGAATAACTATGACCTGGATGATTGAGCATCTCCAATAGACAGTATTTGAGGGGCTGTCACTGAGAAGGGGTGGTGGTATTCACCTATTCTGCAAAGTACCTGAGAGCAGGACAAAAATTAATGGATGGAACATTATCAGAGATTCAACCTAGAATTAAGGAGAACTTTCTTGACAGTGAAAGCAGTCAGTGGGATTGGTTGCCTCCAGAAGTTGTGGGTGCTCCATCAGTTGAGGTTTTAAAAAAGAGTGGATAGCCATTTGTCTGGAATGATATAGGGCAGTGGTGGCGAACCTATGGCACGGGTGCCAGAGGCGGCAATCAGAGCCCTCTCTGTGGGCACGCGCGTCATCGCCCCAGTCCCAGGCCTTCAGCTGGGTTTTATAAAACCTTTTCGCTTTAGGCCTCCACCGCCGTGTGCAAAAAAAAAAAGGTTCAATCAATCAATCAATTTCAACTTCTCAAGGGGAAACAAAATTTCTTGCAAAGTTGTAATTGATTGATTGAACTTTTTAGTCCCACCCAGTCTGCCACACCCACCCAATGGGCCACACCCACCCAATGGGCCACACCCACCTGGCACTCGACGATGCATAAGTGGGTTTGGGGTTGCAGTTTGGGCACTCAGTCTCTAAAAGGTTCGCCATCACTGATATAGGGGCTCATGCCTTGAGCTGGGGGGTTGGACTAGAAGATCTCCAAGGCGCCATCCATTATTCTATGTTCTACATTTGGGACATTACAGACACAATCTTGAGCTCTCAAGAAAAAAAGCCATAAGAACAAGGAATCAGTCAATCATGGGGTGGAGAAAGATCTTGGGAAAAACGTAGACCAGACTTGATGTGGAAAGCTGATGCAGAAACTGAACCAGTAGAAGAAAATGGTGGAAATATTTAGATGTTTTGCCCTTCTACAGTAAATGTAAAATATTTTTTGCCATTTCTCCAACCTTTCTCTTATCTCTCTCCTCTTTTCACTTCATGGTTCCTTACATCACACCTAGATAATCCCATTTCATACCACAAAACTAAGAAGAAGGTAAACCCACTAACATTCTTTTTAGCCCTATAATGCACTACTAGTCTCTTGAAATAATTTGACCTCATTCTAATGTGAATTAGCTTGGGATAATTTTAACAGGACCCCAGTTTATAAAAACAGAATAAATAAGAATAACGAGTTTTAGGAGAAACAACGGTTATATAATGGTTTAACATGGAAGAATACAGCTGAAACTCTGCCACTAAAATAGATCAATCCAGAGGGCTGTTTCTACTGGGTGAAATGAAAACATCGGTATGTCAATAAATGGTCAATGAAAATCTTCATGAGATTAACAGATTGGTGAACTTGCATCAGTTGCCATATTATTCACTGCTTGTGCGCATAACTGGAAATGAACCACAAGGCAGGTTATTGTTCGAAACATTTATTTACAGATTTTAATATAATTAAAAATGTCTTCCATAAAAATCTTCCCAAGTCCTGAAACAATAAGAGATACCGGACCACCCCAACGATGCCGCAGAAGTGATGTCCCGGTGCCTGGAGGCCGTGCGAGTCTGGATGGGGAGGAACAGGCTTCATCTCAACCCGTCCAAGACCGAGTGGCTGTGGTTTCCAGCGTCACGTCATAGCCAGTTGGTTCCATCTCTGGCTATCGGGGGTGAATCATTAGCCCCCGCGGAGAGGGCCCGCAACCTGGGCGTCCTCCTGGATGCTCGGCTGTCTTTAGACGATCATGTGATGGCCGTGGCCAGGGGGGCTTTTCATCAGGCTCGCCTGATACGCCAGTTGCGCCCCTTTCTGGATCGGGACGCCCTACGCACAGTCACTCAAGCCCTCGTTGTTTCCCGCCTGGACTATTGCA